ATGAATGTGAATATATTCAAAACGTGAAAATACATTAAAAAACAATTTGAATAAAAATTATATTTTTACAAAAATATACTTAATATATCAAATTTTAAAAATATATATAATGAGTACAAAAAATAAAAAACTTTTCATCAATTTTTTTTGTAGATATTTTTTATTTCTCTATTTAGTGTTTTTGAAATGATTGTTAAATTTTAACAAAAATTACATATTTCATATATATTATATATAATTAATATATATATATATAATTTAAAAAAAGAAGATTAAAAGAATAAAAAAAATATAGATGTTTCAAATTTTTCTTTATAAATTTTATTACAACTTTTTTCAATAATACTTTGTAAATTCATTGTAATTGACTATAGCAAGTATGTGCAGAAATGTATATTTCTAATTTTACTTTCAATTTTTTTAAACGTCTACAATCGTTTATAATCTGTTTATAGAAGGACATTAATCACATTTTGTAAATGATTAATCATTTTATTATATATTTTCATATTATAAAAAAAACATCAGAACATCAGAACTTTTTTGATCATCTGATATAAGTACATTATGACATGTTACAAAATCCCGCCAATATTCTTTTACTTTACAGCAAGATAATATAGTGCAAAAGGAAACATATAAGAAGAGATGGAAGAAGAGAAAATAGAAGTAAGGATAGGGAAAAGTAAAAACATGTTTCACTGGAAAATTCTAAAACATGGTAAATGGTAAGGGACAAATTATTACGGAGAAGAAATAGAGTCGCTGGATGGCAGTTGCAGCTGTGCTGCCGAGTATTTATGGGTGAGAATCGTCAAATGATTTAAATTTAGGAATATTATTGTGAATACTGGTAACATTACATTTATATATTACATGCCAGCATATAATTATGCATGCAACTATTGAGTCTCATATCGCGAATTAATGTTAAATGCATTTAGGACGAGCTATAATTGCATTTTATTACAATGAATTACACTCTTGTATGCCATTTCTTTCTATCTACAATACATATTTTTTTTCATATTTATTTTTTGTTCATTCATCATGTTTGTTGTATATAAGCATTGAACGATATGTGATGAAATTATGATTATTTGAATCATTACGATTTTCTATTGATTAAACACTATCATTTTTATGACATAGTACATAGATATGTTAAATAAATTCATTGCTTTCAAAATGTAAATTTATTTTTCATTCTGAACTTATTACTTGTTTAAAAATACAGAGAAACTAGGTTAATATATAATTAAATAATATAATTAATAATATAAATATAATTAAATAATATAATATATAATTAATAATTAATAATAATAATAATTAATAATAAAATTAATAATATAATTAAATCTATTAATAAATAATTATTAATAGATTATATATAATTAATCAATTAATTAATATATAATNAAATTTATAAATTAATTTTTTAAAATAATTACTTTTTTAAAATAAAATTTGTTATAAATTTATATATTATTCATTTAAAAATAAATCATATAACTTTTATTCTTTAAAATCGTTATTTTTTAAAAATATTATTTCTTTCAGATTTTTTTTTTGTTTCGTTTTATTTCATATCAAAAAAAAAAAAAAAAAATGGCGATATAATAAATCATTTATAATTTTTTCTATATCTTTTAATATTTGGAAGTTGAATTGAATAGTAATATTGAAACGATATTTGTATTATAAAATAGAATTAGATGTAAGTTATATTTTTTAAATATGATAATATGAAATATATATTTTTCAAGAAAAGATTTGATTTATCGCATTTCATGATCAATAAACGATTTTTTCCTTTTAAATTCATTATCCTCGCGAGATAGTTGATAATGATAACGATTTAATGTGAGCATTAAATTAAACTATATATTATTCTCCTTACTTTTTTTTATTATATTTTATTAATAATCACAAATTTGAAAACTGTAAATAAATTAAATAAGAAATGATTTGTGAACAATGAAATCTGGTTAACATATTGAATAATCAGTTATTATATTTATAAATATTTTTAATCTGTATCATATATATATCATCATATATAATTTGGAGACACTGTGATTAAAACGGGAAATTATATTAGCTTTGTAAATAAAATGTAGAAATTTGTAATAAGTAATGATTATTTACCGGCAAGAACTCCAGCCATGTAAACAGCCGCGATCCTCAGACTTCCATGAACCATTTCCAGGGGAAGTCCAACAACCACTTGTACTCCCAAGTTAAATAATAGGTGAAGCCATCTGAAATTCAAGCATATAAATTTCTTACATAGTGCTCATTATTATTCATATCAATAAAATGACAAAATTAATAAAATAAATTTAAAAAAAAGAATTTGAAAAAAAAAAGAAAGAAAAGAAAAAAGAAATTCTTGTATTGAATTGAAAAAATTTTTTTTATTTAAAAACATTTAATTTCATAATCTCGTTTTTTTATTAAAAATTGAAAATTCGAAAAATAGTTAGAAAAATAAATTTATAAGAAGCATGACATGACATGAAAAAAAATATATATTTGTAAAAATAAAATTAATAAAATAAAAAAAAATTATAAATATATTATAAAATAAAGAATGGATTTTCTATTAAAAATTTTAAAAATTTAATATTTTATTTCCAGATCATAATTTATCTAAATTATCTATCTATTTTTCGATTCAATTCAATGAATGAATTTTTCAATTCACTAAATTATATTGTTTGTAATTATAATTTAAAAAATTTTTAAAATTATAATTTAAAAAATA